CTAAAGTCTTTCTTGGGGCCGGCCCGGTGGCACACTGGATAGTGCGCCGCTTGGGAAGTGCGGCAGCACTCCCGCCCGAGGGTTCGGATCCCACATACAGACCGGCTCCCGCTCACTGGCTGAGTGAGGCGCGGGAGCAACACCGAGGGTTGCAATCCCGTTGCCGGTCCCTGGTCCGGTACGGGGGCAACACTGAGGGTTGCGATCCGTTGCCGGACACGGAAAAAGACAAAAGACAAAAAAAATAATAATAATAAAAAATAAAAAAAAATAAAGTCTTTCTTTTTTTTTAAAGTTAAAAAATTCCATCTTTTTTATTGTAAATTTCATAGTTGCCCTGTTTTTCATCAAGTGCTGCCTTTTCTCCAAAGAAATCAGGGTGCTCTAACAAGGTTTTTAGCTAAACCCCACTAAGACCCACCTTTGGAGGAAACAGATCATTGGAGTCACTTGGTTGCTTTTTGTAAAACAGATTTAATGATTCTTATTTTGCCAGAATTTTTTTCCATTGCAAGTTTTCCTGTAGGAAAGAACTGGTATTAATTATTGTTATTAGTCATTCTACAGCCTTTCAAACCTAAAGCCTTTCTGCATTTTTGAACTTCTTTCTTACAATGTTACAGCTTAGCTTGGGCTTTGTCATCTTATTTTCCCTGAAAATTTTGTTATCTCACATGATATTATTGCTATGGGATGTCCAAAATCCTCAAGAACTTTGACTTCATTGGGGACCAGATTCAAAAGTACTTTTCCCCAAGTTTGATTCCAAACATCTAGTCTTTTAATCTCATTCAGCAGGATTTCTTCTTAGTAGTGCATTTCACTTTCTATTTAATCAACCAAGGAAGTGAATATAATATGATACCAAAATTAGAACAAAAAACCACCCAAAAGGAGAGCTGAACATGTATGTCCAAATGAGTGATTCTCATCAAATTAGTCCCCTTTGGAAGTATATCTGCTTACTCATTTGGTGCTGCCATTTCTCATGTCATATGTAGCATTTGGAGACTGTCTTCTGTAGAAGTAACAGCTTTGCTTATTTTATATCAATCAGTATTCTCATATTTTTTTCTCTTTCCTCCATTCTTCCTTTGTTTCACTCACTCACTATTCCCCTCTGCTTGACACCATCCTTTTTCACTTTGAGGATAAACAGAATTGAAATGGAGTAAGTCTATAGCCAAGGAAAATCTTAGGATGAGATAGTCATGAAACAGACTGAATTTGAATGGTGATTTTGTCAGTCTTGCTTATATTACTCTATATTGTTGTTCTGTGCCTTTGAAATTTTTCATTTAGGGCCGGCCCGGTGGCGCACTGGATAGTGCGCCGCTTGGGAAGCGTGGCGGCGCTCCCGCCCGAGGGTTCGGATCCCACATACAGACCGGTTCCCGCTCACTGGCTGAGCGAGCCGCGGGGGCGACGCCGAGGGTTGCAATCCTGTTGCAGGTCCCCGGTCCGGTACGGGGGCAACACTGAGGGTTGCGATCCGTTGCCAGACACAAAAAAAGACAAAAAGGAAAAAAAAATAATAAGATGCAGACATAAGTACATGTAAG